GATAGATAGATAGATAGATAGATAGATAGATAGATAGATAGATAGATAGATAGACGATAGATAGATAGATAGATAGATAGATAGATAGATAGATAGATAGAATACTTTATTGGCCAAGTGTGATTGGACACACAAGAAATTTGTCTTGGTGTAAATACTCTCAGTATACATAAAAGAAAGATACATTCATTAGGAGTCGGTAATCATAAGGTACGACACTTAATGATAGTCATAGGGTACAATAAGTAATCAAATCATACTAGGAAACAGTCAATAAAAATTGTAAGGATACAAGCAACAAACTTGCAGTCATACAGTCACAAGTGAGAGGGGATGGGTGATAAGGAGTGATGAGAAGATTAGTAGTGCAGACTTTATAATAGTTGAACAGTGTAGAGGGAATTATTTGTTTAGCGGAGTGATGGCTTTCAGGAAAAAACTGTTCTTGTGTCTAGTTGTTCTGGTGTGCCGTGCTCTGTAGCGTCGTTTTGAGGGAAGGAGTTGAAACAGTTTATGTCCGGAATGTGAGGGGTCTGTAAATATTTTCACAGCCCTCTTTTTGACTCGTGCAGTATACAGGTCCTCGATTGAAGGCAGGTGGGTAGTAATTGTTTTTTCTGCAGTCCTAATTATCCTCTGAAGTCTGTGTCTGTCCTGTTGGGTTGCAGAACCAAACCAGACAGCTATAGAGGTGCAGATGATAGACTCAATAATTCCTCTGTAGAACTATATCAGCAGCTCTTTGGGCGATGGAGGTGCTTTCTATGGAACGCTCTTTTTTTGGGGGGGAAGAGCTCCTCTTCTCTCTCTCTCCTGCAAAGGTAGGATGGACCCTTCTCTGAAGGTATTCAGAGAACTAGTTAAAAGGCTTTGCTTTTCCACAAGACTTGGGGCAGAGTGTATTTATGTTTTTCTTAGTAAATGAAAAGAGAAAGCTGTTAACTATTAGGTTATTTGGGTATTTATTCATATGTGTGACATTACACAAACATAAACACATACACTTTAAAAACAAACCAAAAATGAAATTACATAGAAGGCAAACCAATTAATTTCTAATCAATGTCAATTAATCTTAATGAAATATCTTCTATTAATAACTATGTTTTCGTTAGGCTTCTTTTTCTTATTCGATCCATATTCTTAGCTTTTTTCTGTATTCAGCATACTTTTCCCTATCCCCAACAGTATGGCTTTGATCCAGTGGTGGTATTCAGCAGGTTCTGACCAGTTCTGAAGCACCGGTAGTGGACATTTTGAGTAGTTCGGAGAACCAACAAATCCCACCTCTGACTGGAGTTTTTACAGTATCCTTCCCCTACCACACCCACCAAGTCAGGCCTACAGAACCGGTAGTAAAAAAAAAAATTTGAATCCCACCACTGCTTTGATGGCATAAATGTCTGCATATACAGTAGTTACTATGCATCCTATCCCAGACAAATAAAGAAATGGATCCCTCCCCCAAAGCACATTAAACATTAGATCGCCTACTGTGAAAGAGAAGACACAGCCACTCTCTTTTCTTTTCCCTGTGGGAAAATTAAATATTATATTTCCACATGTAAAGGTGGGGGGAAAGATTCATCAGCATCAGGGATGTCCAAATTGGCAAGTTTTAAGACCAGTGAACTTCAACTCCCAGTATTCCTTAGCCAGCCTGTTGAAATCCACAAGTCTTAAAGTTGCCAAAATTGGACCCCTCTGCTTTACATGAGCGAAGCTTCATTTTTCATGTGGCAACCTGCCCCTTCCTTAAGAGGAAATTGCTAGAATATTACAACCACAATCTGGAATCAAAGGAAATGGCCAAATGTTCTTTATTTATTTACTGCAGTCCTCCATCTGAAACATCTCTGGATGGAAATTTCAGAAACTTTTTTGTGAATGTTTAGCCACAAGTAGATTAAAGAGCCAATGAAAAGCCCCATTCTCTCAAAAGCCTTTTTCCCCCTTTTGTGCTACCTTTCAGATTGCAAGCCTAAGGATAGAGTCTACTTTGGATTCCTTTGTATGCCTGCATACTATTTTTTTAAAGTAATAATCCCATCAATGATTAATAACAATCAAATAGTGAAATGATACCTGTGTTAATAACTCTACTTACTAACAATTACAGCAGTTCCTGGATAACCACGAAGAAAACATTGGTTTCCTCCGTGCCATTTCTGCAAGTTGCGTGGCTGCACAAAAAAGTGGCCAAGACACGCTGGATCTTCCATATACAAAAAATCAGTTGACTGAGGCACTAGTGGTGAGTGAAAGCCAACCCCAGCCAGACCCAGTGGGAAGGCGGCTACCAAATAGTAGAAAGTAAGCCTTGGGGTTTTCAAGGCAGAATTAACAGGGAGAAGCAGCCCTTGTTTGCGAAATTCAGACGTATGCTACCAAATCAAGATCTCGGAGAAATAGCTCAAGTTTCCCTGGCTGTTCTAATCAAGGAACAGTGGAAGTAAACAGAAGAGAAAAATGGAGGCAACCCATTAGCCATAAACCATGGCAAGGTTCTTAGATCGTTGAGCCTTTGGCTAAATAGGATCCAAGCCAGAAAGGTAGATTAATACATTTATGCATAAGTAAAAAAAAAAGGTCCTCGTGGATAGAAGGTGGGAGGCACCTTAAAAGGGAAATAATCACTTTAGACACCATTCAAACATTTTTATGTTCTTCAATTGGCTTAATGATTTCATTCAAGTCCTTAAGTCGACTTGGGCCTTAAGACTTCAGTTGGCTTAATGTTTTCATCCGAGTCAGTCTAGTGAGCATGTTCAGTGGTTATATATGTACCATGGAACAATTCATAGCATCCAATGATAATCTTAGCATGATCTTGTTCATGCCTAATTGCCAATACAGGAGGGGTGTTTGCCACATAATAATGAATCTTCAGGTTAGTCAAGTCTGCCTTTTTGCACAGGCTTTGCCTCTGGCTGGTCTGAACTGGTATTCTTTCTTTCTTTTTTTAAATCAAAATCCATATTCTACATGGGGAATTTGCTTACTACCAGAAACATTAATCAAATGTTTCCCGATGCTCGCTCACCTTGCCCACCTGATGCTTGCCCCTTAAGGTATTTCTTTTTTTCCCCCCTCCCGACAATCAACTGATCAGCTGTGCCGGGTTTCCCCTAGCTGTCTTACTGCTTTGCCCCAGAGGATTCCCTGAGGTCCAGGAAGGCAAAAAAAAATGGAGGGAGGGGTGGAGCCCCCCCTCTCCGTTTTTGCCTTCCTGAGCCCCAGGGGAGCCTTCTGGGAGCAAAAACTCCCCTGAGGGCCAGAAGGCCCCAAAACAGAGCGGGGGAGGGTGCTATGCACCCCCTCCAGGCTCCCTTACTGTTCTTCCTGAGCCCCAGGGGAGCCTTCCGGGGGGGGAAACATGCCCCCCCAGAAGGCTTGCCTGAGGCCCAGAAGGCCCCAAAAATGGGTGGGGGGGTGGCTGGAAAAAAGCCACGCCCACCCAGTCACATGGTCACACCCACCAAACCACGCCCACCAAGCCATGCCCACAGAACTGGTTTTTAAAAAGTTTTGAATCCCACCACTGGACTGGATGGTATATAAACAGCAGTGTAAATCTTTCCATTCCCCACCATCCAGTTGCCTCTTGAAAAAGCACCTTTGGGGTTAATCAAAAGTGCTCCTTGTTACTGAAAACTATTATTCAAAGAGTGTCCCTTTACCTGCTCCCATCCCATTCCCCCCTCTGATGCTAACGGGTGAAAGTAAATGAGGACAAGAAGCATGACTGGGCAGCGTGCAGATACTCTTGCCCCCTTGACATTTTTCCTCCATCTTTTTCAGATGGTGATGGAGACACTGCCCAGCCACTCAGTCCCGTCTTTCATTCTCTCCTGTTCTATGCTTGCTGTCTACAACCTGAGGTAGCTGCTACCTACCCCCAAAAAACACCCTTTCTGCTAGTTCTACAGCTGGGGGGGGGCGGTGTTGTTTTTTTATAAAGCCAAATCCCAGGGCAGTAGCTCTTTTGAATTCTGCTGTATAGTGCAGTGTTGGTGTGGTGTCGGGGAGCTTCGGTTCAATGTGTGAAGGGTGAAGGATGTATGTTTGCATTTTCATGGTCGTGATGTGCACGGAAGATGGTGTTTAATTTCGTTGTATGAGGTGCAATGACAATAAAGTAAACTAAACTAAACTAAATTAGGGGAAAGCGGTAGCTCCAAATAGCAGCATTTGTGACCCTCTTCATTTTAGGAACAAATTCAGGTGCTCAAGTTCAGACATACGTACTCCACTACATGCTTGTCTTCTCTTCAATACTGCATAGACCATCTCGCGCTCTCTCTGCCACCTACCACCTTGGTTACTTCTTTGCCTCCCATTTCTATCAGCGCTCTCTCAACTCTCAATCTTTGCTCTGCTAGCAAATATAAGGACTTTTTTTTGTTGATTTTACCACTAATGTATTGATGACACTCAGGTATTTTCACCCTCATTGTTTATTTGTACATTAACTGTCACGCTGTCATTTCTTTCTGATGACGTTATACTTAAAATACATTGAACTCATTGATAGTTGCCCAGTAACAATATTCGGTTTTTGGTTTTCCTTTACAAACCAGAAGTCTTATTTCCTTTTTATATCCCAATCTAGCTCTTCCTCTACAGGTATACATTGGGAGGTGGTGGGGGAGAGGATGTATGTTTGTATTTTCATGGTCGTGATGTGCACGGAAGATGGTGTTTGGTTTCGTTGTATAAGGTGCAATGACAATAAAGTAAACTAAACTAAACTAAATTAGAGGAAAGCGGTAGCTCCAAATAGCAGCATTTGTGACCCTCTTCATTTTAGGAACAAATTCAGGTGCTCAAGTTCAGACATACGTACTCCACTACATGCTTGTCTTCTCTTTGTAGAAGTTTGTATTTTCATGGTCGTGATGTGCACGGAAGATGGTGTTTGGTTTCGTTGTATGAGGTGCAATGACAATTCTATTTCTATTAAATAAGGCATCTGGCCCCTTTTTCCCATTGCATAATCTATGCCTTCTCTCTTTATTTTACCAGCAAAATGAAACCCCCGCTTGCTTCTGAGCTCGAAACAGGTATTTTGCGACTGGCTCTTCATGGTATATTCAGCATGGAAACGCAAACAACCGACCCTCATAGTGTGGTAAATTGGGATTAAACTTTGCTGGTCTAGGGGCAAATATGCTATGCTTTTTCAACTCATGTCATTAAGGGATATTCCATACTGAAGACTGTGCTGTAGAAATGTATGTCCCAGAAATCAGTAAGGGAAGAGTACATCCTATCTTCTTTTTCTAAATTCACATATTATAATTCACATTATTATCACAAATTCACATAATATACATTCACGCATGTGCATACATGTGAGTGCATAAGACACACAGGTCAGCGGATAATAATACTTCATGTATCTAGTGAAATGGAGAGGAGAACTTATGCCGTAAAAAATTTACTCCTCTTTAGACTGCTGGTTTATAATGAAGTTAGAGAATTCCATCGTGAGAGATCGGCCTGCAGAACTTTCTTTCTTTACAGGCGCTCTACAGATCATCGTTTGATACCATGGATATTATGCTGAAGGGCCTATTGTCTGAGACACCTACCACCAGCCATCTTCTATTTATATTAGAGGTGAGAGGCTAGAGAGAAGGTGGTGGTGAGGTTCTCTTGAGGTTAGTATGAGTGGGAGAGGTTGAAATGGAACTTAGCATATCTTAACACATACAACCTGAATTGATTTGCCAATTGTTTAAAATGGTAGGTCAACATTTCCAATACATTGTTTCAGAGCTGCAAACAAATTCTTAGGAATGAACAAGATGTCTCAAGTCTTTTCACCCTATAAACCCTCAACAAGCCCACTCCTTATTTTGGGTTGTTTTTCCCCTACTTTAAAGGTTTAGACTGTCCCACCTTTGAATTTCAATCCTGTCCATTTTTGATATTGTAACATCACTGGCCTAATCTAAAACAGTCAGTAGCAAAAATAAAATAAAATGTTCAAGATTAAGAAATGGAGCAACAAGGGTCAGGAGTCTTGAGTAGTCATAGATATCAATAGAAGTTGAATATTAACTGGATGAAGATAGGATAAGCTAATCTTTTTCTGACTTCCTATTTCCTTCCACAGCACGTCAATTTCTGGATTCGTTCACAAGACCCTCAAGAGAGATTCAGGGCCATTAATTGCAGCATCTCCTTGCTTCGCCATGTGAACCAGCAATCAGATTTTGAAGTAGGTGATGATTTGGACTTTGAGATACTAAGCATATTAAAAGAATGCACCAATCACCCTTTTCCTATTTATGAAACGTTTGATCCTAACTACTCACAGGGAACTTCCCTTTTGAAAAAAATATTTTTCCCATTGGATTACTGGTGGGAAAAGAAGAGCCACAAGTTGAAAGGAGATTTTTCGATGGCATTAAGAGATCATATCAGTCGGGAGTTTTAAGAGTTGAAATTCAATCCTTATGAGGTCCATCAGTTTGAGGGAAGAAATTCTATTGTTCCAAAAAGATTATAACTGAAGATAGACCTCTTCATATTTTGTTTTATCTACTTCTCCATTGAATGCTTGATGAATGGATGGATGGATGGATGGATGGATGGATGGATGGATGGATGGATGAATGAATGAATGAATTCTTTATTGGCCAAGTGTGATTAGACACACAAGGAATTTATCTTGGTGCATATGCTCTCAGTGTACATAAAAAGAAAAGATACATTCGTCAAGAATCATAAGATACAACACTTAATATAGTCATAGGGTACAAATAGGCAATCAAATTATACTAGGAAACAATCAATATAAATTGTGAGGATACAAGATACAAAGTTACAGTCATACAGTCACAAGTTGGAATACTCACCTCTAATGATCTAAGTGCTAGAGCCCACTGCAACTACATAGCCAAAAAGGCATTAAGAGTTGTTAACCTAATCCTACGTAGCTTTTTCTCTGGTAATATCACACTACTAACTAGAGCATACAAAACATTTGCTAGACCAATACTCGAATACAGCTCATTAGTCTGGAACCCACATTACGTATCTGATATTAGCACAATTGAGAAAGTCCAGAAATATTTCACAAGAAGAGTTCTCCACTCCTCTACTCGTTGTAGAATACCTTATTCCACCAGACTTGAAATTCTAGAACTAGAAAACCTTGAATTATGCCGTCTTCGGTCTGATTTAAGCATGGTATATAAAATCATACATTGCAATGTCCTACCTGTCAATGAATACTTCAGTTTCAACCATAACAACACAAGAGCACACAATAGATACAAACTCAAAGTTAATCGCACCAAACTTGATTGCAGGAAATACGACTTCAGCAACAGAGTGGTCAATGTCTGGAATACTCTACCCGACTCTGTAGTTTCTTCCCCAAACCCCAAAAACTTTAACCTTAGACTGTCTACTATTGACCTCACCCCTTTCCTAAGAGGTCTGTAGGGGGCGTGCATAAGCGCACCAACGTGCCTACCGTCCCTGTCCTATTGTTTCTCTTATTCTTCTTTTATTTTTCTTATATGTACCCATTTCATGCATTCACAACTATGTATACACTTATACTTATTATCTTGTAAACAATTGGCAAATCAAATAAATAAATAAATAAATAAAGTGGGAGGGGATAGGTGATAAGGAGTTATGAGAAGGTTAACAGTAAGAGTAATGCAGACTTTGTAATAGTTGAACAGTGTTGAGAGAATTGTTTGTTTAGTAGAGTGATGGCTTTCAGAAAAAAACTGTTCTTTTTTTTTATAATTTTTTATTGGTTTTTAAAACAAACATAAACAAACAAAACATACAAACATCAGGCCATCTTCCATACATGTGCATACAGTGTGCCGGTTGGTTTACAAATTGTTTTGTGCTTCCATTTCGTAGTCTTCAATTACAATTACATTGTATATGATCTCATATTTTCAACCCAATATTAAATACATTGGTATTATTATTAATCAATCATTTGACTATACTTTTATTCATTCATGCTTTAGGAAATAATCATATTTTACTTAATTTGTTTTGTGACAATTCATATTATCATTCCAAATCTATCCTAAAATCATTTTGTAGATATAATAAGGAAAGAATACATCTTTATATATTTAGTATTTTCTAAAAGTCTACATATTTCGTTACTATACTTTATTGTCTAACCATTGATAGAATAGATCCCAAACTTTATAAAATTGTTTATCATCCTGTTCTCTAATTTCAAATGTCAATCTGCTCATTTCAACACATTCCAATATTTTCTTAATGATTTCCTCCTGTGATGGTATTTTCTCATTTTTCCAGTTTTTAGCAAATACAATCCTAGCCGCTGTTAATACATTTACAATCAGGTATTTCAAGTCTTTACTATATATTTCAGGTAAAATTCCAAATAAAAATATCTCTGGTTTCAAATCTATATGTTTTTTTGTCATTTTTTCCAACCACGTGTGGATTTTACTCCAGTATTTTTTAGCATCCACACAAGTCCATCACATATGGTAATATGAGCCAGGTATCTGATGACATTTCCAACATTTTTTGGATTTATTCTTGAACATTCTTGCTATTCTTGTCGGGGGAAAGTGCCACCTGTAAAACATCTTATACAAATTTTCTTTATATGCTGTTGACATTGTCATTTTATAATTTTGAGACCACAATTTTTGCCATTTCTCTAGATCAATCCCATATCCAAAATTCTTCCCCCAAGCAATCATAGTTTCTTTAACTTGTTCTTCTTCTAGTTTAATTTCTAATAAATATCCATACAATTTTTTAATCACCTTTTCATCAGTACCTGTCAAAATCTTATCTAAATCAGTCAGTTTATCATAGAAACCTTCTGTTTTAGAATCTTTATCATACCTTGAATGTATTTGCGCATATGAAAACCAATTCATCTTTATACCCTGTTCCTCTAGTTTTTGTATAGATTTAAGTTCACCCTGTTCATTCAATATTTCACCATATCTAACTGTTTGTTCCTTTTTGTATATTATATGATAAGAAAATGCTTCAATAGTCGATAGCCAGACTGGAATTTTCAAATAACATTGTCTTTTAATCTTCTCCCAGTTTAACCACAGACTCCCGTATATAATATCTTCTAAAGTACCCCTGTGTTTTAGTTCCTTTATACCATAAAAAAGCATGCCACCCCAACAACAGATCATGCCCTTCTAATGTCAACCATCTAGTGTTTCTTAATGTTATCCATTCCTTAACCCACATCAAATTTGTAGCTTGGTAATACAACTCCCAATTAGGCAAACCAAATCCTCCTCTTATTCTAGCATCTTGCAAAAGTTTTAACTTTATTCTCGCTTTCTTACCTTGCCATATATATTTCAGCACAATTTTATTTAAATCTTCAAAATAGTATTTTCCAAGCCTAATTGGAATTGTTTGGAACAAATATAAAATTCTGGGTAATATATTCATCTTGATTGTTGATATTCTCCCTATTAATGACAGTTGTAAATTTTCCCATTTCGCCAAATCTAGTGCTATCTGCTGTTTAAGTTTGATATAATTATTCTCTTTCAGTGTACTGCATCTTGCTGTCAAGTATATCCCCAAGTACTTGATCTTATTTGTGACCTGAATTTTAATAGGTCTGCCAGTTCTTCCTTTTGTCTTGATAGCATATTCTTTGTCAAGATCTTTGTCTTATCTTTATTTTTTTTCAAACCAGCCACCTTTCCATATGTCTCTATCTTTTCTATCAATTTTGATGCTGTTTCTAGTGGGTCTTCTAAAATAAAAACCAGATCATCTGCAAATGCTTGCAACTTAAATTCTTCCTTTTTAATTTTCATCCCTTTTATATTCTTTTCATCTCTAATATTTCTATTTAGCACTTCCAAAGTTAACACAAACAACAGAGGTGATAGTGGGCACCCTTGTCTTGTTCCTTTTCTTATATTGATAGAGTCTGTCAGTTCTCCCTCTATCATTACCTTTGCTGTTTGCTTATGATATATAGCTTCTATTGCTTGAATAAATTTTCTAGCAAAGCCCATCTGTTCCAGCAGTAACAACATGAATCGCCAATTCACATTTGTTAAGTATGGAGAATAACGGAGACCAGACATCTGACCAGTGACTTCAACTCTTTAATAAAGTGGTAGAACATAACAGAGCAATGCTATGGGCAGCAGTAACCCTTTTATAGGGTTAGCTGCTGCCTAATTAACCAATGAAAATGTGCAACAGGTTCAAACTACTGACCAATAAGGACAGTCCCAAAAGTGGCCAATCAGGGACTGGTTCTGGCCCAATCCCAAGTTGTTGTATAAGGACCAATGACGTGTGCAGGTTTTCAACCCCTAATTTGCATTTAGGTTATTCACTTTTATTGATTCACAACACCCCTCCCCCTTGGGTTCCTTTTGAGGGGAGCTGTGATAAAATCCTCAAGGTAGGCAGGCCGTTTGGTCTGCCTGGATGATTTCCGAGGCTCCACCGGGTTTTGTGTAATGTCCGGTTCCAGTGGAGCGTTTGGATGACCTTTGTTAAATTCTATTTCGCTGCACGGCGATTCCGTGCTGCATTCACTGTGGTTGTCTCTGCTACTGCGTGTATCTTCGGGGTTTTGCAGTTCGGTTTCCCCCGTATTAAAGTTCCCTGAAGACATCAACTCCCTCCCCGCTTCACATTCCGGTGCTTCGCTGGGCTGTAGGGCTCCCGTTGACCTGCTATTAGTTGTATCAAAGTCACTTCCCTCGATACTCCCTCCCCCTTGAGTTGGTGAACCGGGGAAGTCATGGCCGCTGGGTGGTAATCTCGATCAGAGCTGGTCTATGTGGCGTTTCCACACCCTCCCATCGTCTGTTAGCAGGCGGTAAGATCTAGGCCCGGTGAGGTGGGTAACGGTTGCGGGTATCCATAACGGGTCGCCGGAAAAGTTTTTGGCAAAGATTAAATCGCCTACCTTAAATTCCCGGCATTTGCTGCTGGAGCCGACAGGTTTTTCCGGTGCGAAAGCGGGGTGGAGCCGGTCAAGGTGCGATCGTATTTTCCGGCCCATAAGAAGTTCAGCGGGTGTTTTGTTGGTCACGCTGTGGGGCGTGATGTGCTGCAATAAGAGGATTCGATTGATTTTCTCGTCGATGTTTCCAAATTCCATTTTGTGCAGGGTCTTTTTCACAAATTGTACCATGCGTTCTGCACGCCCATTCGCCGCAGGGTGCGCGGGCGAGGTTAGCGCATGGC